AAAAATCAAATGTGACAAGATAAAAAAAAGTAAAGCTTAAACCTGATCTGCCTGCAGCATTCGCTTGACACATTCACTGTTTATGTAGCGATCTGCAAGATCCATACACCTAGCTTCATCTGCCAATGAAGCTGCTGCTACCAAATCACCAGCATGCTTCAGGATCCGGCTCTGCCACAAAAAAGTCCCAATTATATACAACAGATAATCCAATGACAAAATGCTAAGACACAATATGTGTGTATTATGAAATTAACAGTAAAGAGTGTTCAGCATAGAACCTGTAGGTGGCATGAGAATATATACAAACACTTGGACAAAACCAAGTAAACATATTAACATCCAGTCAGGTTCAGAGCCACGTTTATTAATACTGAGTCTCATACCAATAATAAGTCAGAGGGAATCCTCATGAAACATTTGCATGAAAATATCCATATGATTTGATATTTCCAAAAAAATATACCAATAAAATGGAAACAGGGAGAAGGTAGACAGCTTATATCAATCTCCCAGAAGAATAACAATGCAAATTTTTAGGTAGCAAACCTTCACAGAATATAAATCAATAACAGTTGGAGTGTGTTCTATAGCCTCGTCAATCTTGGAGAAAGCAAGCTCATATTGGCCCCTTCTGTCATAATGCTGCACCAGCAATAAAGCACAAAATAATTCACCACAAAACACAACAAGATATGAAAATTAAAAAAAAAAAAAAAGAAGGAGAAAAGAAGGGCCAAGGCTGCTAGAAACAACTGAGAAGAACATACCTAAGCCAAAAAGAACAAAGTCCACATAAGTGTTGAAGGGGACTCTTTTTCTGTCCTGCATTGAGGAAGAAACACAATCACTGTCAACACAAGGAAATAACTAAACATAAGACCAAATATATGGGGTTTACAAGTAGATATATGCCTATGTATATATCTAAATAGATGAATTCTATGAAAGCTAGAACTAAGAATCAAACTTTTTCATCCAATAAAGATAATGCACATATCAGGCAAATGGAAGAATGCGAAATTTTTTTAAGTATGCATTTGTAACTTGAAAAGACCTAGATAAATATGATTATACCAACATTCAACATATTTGCTTGGAATTCCTTAAATATTAAAATGATCTGAAGAATATATTACAACCTTTCAGTGTATCTCCCAGAGGTCCTGACAGAATGCTCCAACTCAAGAATAATTTGCTCTAGAATATCTGCCTGTATAAGCGTCAACAAGACAAGAAAATGAATCTTTAAAAAAAAAAACATTTCAGTCATCACCAAACAGTTTACCAGTATTCAAATTAGGGACTGAAATTTTCTTAGAAATAGTGAGAACAAAAAACAAACCTTTCCAGGGTGGTCATACAGAGGAGAAAGATCAGAGAACAAAGAAGGAACTCCCTGAGAGGACCAAGAATATAAATCATAATTAACCAACAAACTTTAAAAAACCAGTCAGACTAGCAGAAAATTGTAACGATAAATACCTTAGTTAGAAGAGGCATGATATAATTAAATGCTGCTTCTCGAAACTTATCTCCTTGCAAAAAATCAAGTGGAATCCTCTAAATTTGAAAGAGGGAGCGAATAAAAGTCACAGTGAATAAAGACAATAGGCATGTATGTAATGACAACAATGATGATGATCAACAATGCAAAAACAAGTGGCACAGAATTTAAGGATCTGACCCTCAGGAGGTCGCACCTAAGTAAAACCTTACCTAGGGCCTAGGCAACTCCCATGCTGGGTTAAAAATAGCCAAAACATATTGTCAATGTAAGAGTGGTAACGATTGGTTCAAACAATTTAAGTGAATATTAAAAGCAATTCATGGGTTAAACATCTTTCGACACTTTTGAAACTGGCATATTACACTATCCAACAAGTTCTTACAGCACTGACATATTCCATCTCAATTCTAAGAAGAAAATAACATGATACATCACCTTAACAGCTGATGATGAAGTGTACTGCTCTTGAAGTGATTTGTACAAGGACTTCAACTGATCAATTTCATCAGAGGAGTAGTGACCATTTTCTGAATGCAACCCAACACATTTCTGCAAGCCTTCATAATACCTGGAGAAAGTAAAAGCAGTGTGACTAAAGTTGGCTTCCTATGCACCTAAAAGCCAAGGAATTACACATGCTCAAACATAAGCATACTACCACATACAAATATGCATGCATTTAACTGAGTGAAGAGGCAGGATATACATGACAATTCTGCCCCTGATTACATCCTGGATCACAATTCCAACTGATAAGAAAATTACTACCATCTTTCACATGGGTTTTTCTTTAAAAATTTCAAAATAGATACCAACTGTTGCGCATTCACCTGTAATTGTCAGGATTCATGGAAAGTAATGCCTTGAAAATTTTAGAACCCTCTTCTAGATGGCCAAGCTTCAAGAGAAGAGAAACTTCTTGTTCTTTGTAAGCTAATTTATCAACCTAGGGCAACATTTACCAGAAACAGTTAGAACCTGAATAGAGTGCATTCAAAAGTCAAACACTTTTATCCTAACAACATATTAGTAAATACATTAGGAACACTTACAATTTTTGGCTGCTTCTTGTGCAACTCCTCAAGTGCTCTCTCAAGAAAACCACACTCCTCGAGCAAAGAAATCTAGAGAAAAACATCAGCCCATACAAACATTAAAAGATAGGAAAGGCACCGCTACATCTGATGATAAACAGTATTTAATACGCAAATTATCAAGATGGAATCAATCATACAGATTAGGCTATGAAGGGAATGAATTCAACAACAGATTTTGTTCTGAAAAATCTAATGTAGGTTTCTAATTTGTTTGAGCTGTTTCCAACTTAAGCAATTCCTTCCCCATGCAAGAAATTGACAGTTAGATATCATTACTGTGGGGAATGGTGCTTTGACAGCAAAATCAATCAAGAATTTATATCCACAACAAATCATTTGTTTGACTGCAAAGTAAAGGTAACTCCTTCACAACAAATACATTTTATGTTGAAGTGCAAAAGGTAAGTGCTAGTTTTTCTTTCTTGAAAGAATTTGATATTTATGAGAAAATTAGCCTCATCAAATCACATCATCTGCTTAATGAATTGGCATCTCTATGAATAATAATCAGAATAGGTAGTAACATGCTTAAAACCTTTCAGTCAAGGGATACATCATAACTGCCTTCATTTTCATTTTTTATTTCTTTTGTTGAAAGACAGATATGTCACTCCATTCTGAACTGAGACAGGTTATGAAAGGGGAACAAGGTCAAAAAGTAGCAGACTTATTTACCAACTATTAGCAACAATGATTCTGAAAAAGTAGTTAAACAAAGTTTTTATTACAAGTCAATTAGGACATTCACAAGTTGCAAATCCAGAAACAATGCAGATAAAACTTTCCCTCATAGAAAATAACTATGCTTCTTTGAAAATGGTATGTTTCAGCTAAAAAGTGAAACACTTGTAAGGAAGGCAACAAGTGCACATCAAGTTCAGCTACTGATCAGCCTTCAACCTTCAACATTCAATTCAATCTTCCAGATTAAGCTTGACTCAACTAATTATAGCAAGTTTGACTTAAGAAATAACAAGTTTAGAGATAGAAAAAACTTCAATAAAATATTTGCCCATAAGCCAATAGCTTATTCTAATTTAGGCACGTCCATATAACACAGCAAACTTGAGTACAATATTGAGCATGCTCACAACTGAGTAAACGCACTGCATCACAGTGTCAACATCAATACCTTATATAAAAGCATTTCAGCATGCTCGCAACGCTCATTATCTGGTGGATAATCATCTTCTAGTGTCCCTTCATATGCTTCCAAAATTTCAACTGCTTTTGCAGCACTGATCAACAACCAAAAAATTTGCTTAGTCTAAATATCTAGCAATAAAACTAAATTAGCAGATCAAACCAGTATTTGGTCAGCAGATCAGAGAAACAGACAAGCAGAGCAAAATCCACACATACCTCAATACATCACATCACTTACAATTAACTATATGAAGCATGCCACTCCAAAAAACAATTTATGAAAAATGCTTCATAATACAAAATTGGATATCAAAAAGATTGTGGATCACCAGCATATTTTCATGTAAACACCAGAGCGAACAGCTAATTGGAATGTAACAGAAGTTGCAGGTCCCCTAGGCAATTTTAGGTCAAATGCGTCAATTTTTTAGACAGCAGCATCAGCAGCCAAGAACAACTAAGCAGATGTGCTTTTATCAAGTTTAAATATTACATTTGACCAAAAAAAAAAAAAGAAAAAGAGAGTTATGTTTGAAATAATTCAAACCTTTAGCCAACCAGACAAACTATCAGCAAAATTTCAACCATATGTCAACAAAATCAACAGTAATTTTTTCAACAATAGCATCTACATGGGCATATGAATAGAAACATAACTTCCACCTCTTACATAACTTTAATGCAAGAAAAAGATTATCCACTATGTCCACAAACCTTTAATCTTTCAATCATAAGCAAACAAATGACAATACACATAGATGCATATTCCTCAAAATAAAAGTCAATTGATAATAGTAAGAAATAGTTGCAGGGATGACAACCAATAATCACTTGTCAAGCTTTTTCATTAAGATCAAAACATTACTTTGAGTTTAAATGGTGGGCTACAGCAAAGCCAATCCAGTTCATGCGATGATTTGGTTTCAGTGTTAAAAGTTGTTGTCTTGTTTCAACAAAACCAGCTAAATCACGCATTTGTGCCTGCAAATGAAATGTAATAATTCAACAGAAGCAAAGCTTTAAATAAGATGATGCACCATCATGCTGGAATTGCATGATACAGATAGTACAGAATGTTAAAATATGCTGGGATAAAATAAATCTCCAAAATTAATATACATTTATACATATATATATATATATCACAATATCTTTAAACCAATTTTCTTTATTTTATTGTAGTATGACAGATTTCTTTCTTCTCTTTTGTATTTTTTGTAAAAGAATAAGATGCTACACACTTCAAATTTTATTATTTATTTCCGGTGATAAGTTTATTATGGGATTTTGGAATTTCTCCCAGTATAAGCATTTCACCACAACCAACACCAACTCATTTCAACCATGCAACTTGCAGACTGCATAAAACATTTGCTCCTAAATACTTAATCAACCAAAATTCTAATTTCCTATACTAAATATACAAGTGTTTATCAAAAAATTCAGGTTATAGTCCTAAAAATGAAATCTCAAAGGCGTCCTAAACAGCAGAAATATTACAATGAATATTGTAATGAGAAACTTGAGCACTTCTTTTACAAATTGTTCGGTGAAGGCCATGTCAAACATCAATGTAAAATAATTACACCTTCAATACCTAACAAGAAAAAAACCTACAAACAACACAAATTTTACCAGAAGTAGCTATAGCAGAAAATTTCATTTCACAACATATACCTGCAAGAGAGAAAGGTCCCTTAGTATCTCAATATTGTCTTGATCTATTCTCAAAGCATTTCTGTAACATTTGATTGCCTCCCTATATTCTCTGTCTGACCGATAAAGGAGGCCATAAACATGCCAGCAAACATGACTTTTGAGATCATTCTACATGAAGACACAAATTGGAATATAATGTCTGCAATGAAAATTTAAGCAACTTTAGAACAATTGAACAGAATCCCAACCTTTAGTCCTAGCCGAACAAGATCATATGCTTCAGCTTTACGGTCCATGCAATTTAATGTCAAACCCTTCATTGATAAAGTTTCTGGCAACCAGCAAAGAACAAGGTCACATTGAACCAGTGACATAAAGACACCAAATAAGACATTACCACAACGCATGATGTTACTTTGACACTGCATGCACAACCGCAAGTGATGGATAGAATAGATAGAGAGCGAACAGATAACAAGATAGGGAAGGGGGGGAATGAGTATATCTACCCTTTTTCAAATATACAACCATATTGCATACAAAATCAACTTCCACATTTTAATAGCAAGAAGTATTTCCAAATAATAACCATGTCTAAATCAGTACACTCAAAATGAACTCTTGAATAATAAATTCACAAAGTCTGACATACCTCCATGATCTGGAAACCTTTTTAGTATGGCATCTGCTGCCTTCAGCCCCTTCTTATACTGTTTAGTTTCATATGATTTCTGCCATGATGAAGCACACATGTTTTAATATTCAAACACATACCTCCAAAGCAATAATATAAAAAAATTAATTTTCCAGCATCAGTCCAGCAGATTAAAGACTAAAAGTTAATTACAAATTAACTACTCAATGAATAAATATTGAAATATCATAGTTCAACAAATTATGGAGGAATTCATCAGGAATAAAAATTAAAACAGAGGAATTATCAAATCAAATTAATTAAGACTTTCACATTCAACTTTTAATTATTGGTATAATAAAATAAAACATTTCTCTGGATGTCAGAAAGATCTCCCTTCACATGGAAAAAAGTCAAATATTCATTATTCTTCATAAGGTGCTTGAGGTTACCAAATTAATCAAATTTTGGTCTAAACCAGCATAAACTGACATGCCAAGAGGACTAGAATATATGTTTGGCTTAAAATAAGCATTACATTTTACAGATGATTGTAATAGAAGAGAAAGGGTGAAAAAGATAAGAGGGGGAAGAAGAAACCATTTTAAAGAAATTTCTTTAATCCTTTTCCTCCCCTTTTTTCCAATAAAACAAATCAGAGTGCCAGAGAAGTAGAACAAAAAGATTGCCATTACTCGAGTTTCCTGATAAAACAATCTGATTTCAATAAAAGATCCAAATTTATTAATCCCAGTATCCTTGTAACTCCTGCTCGACCATGAAAAGAAAGCAAAAAAGTTCACTGCTTGACAGTCATTTATTTAAAGTCTTGACAAAATCAACTTCCCCAACAGAAACTGAGCGAAACCCATAAAGTCAATCAAACTTCAGTTGGAGAGAGCAAAAACTTAAGCAACAGGAAGGCATAAAAATTTCCGATTTCCATTCCCGTTTCACTTCCCTCTGATTTTCTCGCAAGCCAAACAGACACTAAAACTGGAGTAAGAGAAGAGAGCTAGGGTTCAACGAGCAAGATATTGAAGTACGATCACACAGCACAAACTATTGCAGAAAACACATACAATTACACGAACAACTATACAATCAGATAGAGGCAATTTGGACCGTACGACGATGAGCTTGAAGAGGTTAGCCTCTTTAGGAGGCAGCAAAGCTACCATCGTCGTGCGACTGTATAGAGAAAAAGAGGGAAACGGAAAGTTATAAAGAGAGGAAATGGAGAGGTAGCAAGTATGGGAGAAGGAGAAAGTGCAAATGTTTCTGGTTTGGGTGAGGAAGAAGAAGGAAATGGTGGCGTTTGTCTGCTGCAACCCTATGTAACCAAAAAGCTAAAACAAAATGCCCAAGACAATAGGCGCCAAAAAAAAAAGACTTTTTACCGTATTTGTTTTCTTTTTTTTCTTTTATTTTGTTTTTCTTTTCATTTACTATTTCACAAAAGATTTTTTTTTATATTCGGTTTTTATTTTTTTATTAATTAATTATAAATCAAATACATGCCTTCCAATGCAGATCTTAAATAAAAAATAATAATTACAAAAGAGTAGAGACCATCATGCGGTTCTGTTTTCTTTTATTTCGGTTTTATTTTCTTTTAACAGAGATAAATTTTTTTGTTGACAAAAATTTTTTCAACTTGATATTCACGACTTAATATTTTATTAATCTATAATCAACTTATAGACTTTAAAACTTTTGTAATTAAATAATTTTATATAAAGAATAATTAAAAAAAATTTCTAGCCAAGTATTTTTTAATCAATTATTATGTACTTTAACATTTATTTATTTTTTTAAGGTTAAATTTATTTAATATGTTTTAAATTTTAACGAAACAAAGCTTTTTTTTTTTTTTTGGTCATGAACAACTAAAAAAAATCTTAATTTAAGAAAAATGACAAAAATGAAGACAAGTGACAATGACATATTGGCGATGAGCTTAAATTTTAATTACTACAACCAGTCAACTTTGAGGAAAGAGTTAAATCTAATCTCAAACACAAATTCTTGAACATTTTAGGGAAAGTCATATCTCTTTGACAAATAAATACTTGCTTTTGTTCAAGAGAATCTATGGCATCTTGCAAACAAGTGAAGATCCCTTCAGCAGCTACATGTTTTATCTCACTAGGATCTGGCTGTTAAAGAGAAAACTAGAAAGAGGAATAAGTCCCATAGAAAAGATATTGCATACATACAGAAATAGGGAGCCAGCAATAAGCAGACAAGAAAAGTAATAACCACTACTTGCCTTTTCCTTTTGAGTCTCCAGCCATGAGATTGTTTTTATAAAACCGTCAATAGCCCATTTCTTCACTTGAGAAGGAGAAAAGATTTCTTTAGCAGGGTGAGAAGATTGTTTGTCCTGCCAATGCAATGAAGAAGGAATATCACCACCAATAATATAGGACTCACAATTGAGGACTTGATAAAACTCTAAAATTTTAAAATCTGGGATGGGAATACTAAAAGGAAAGGGTAACAACATGGATGAACACATATTACATATAAACTACCTTTGAGGAGGCAGAGTTTGGCTTTAGTTGTGATCCTTTCTCAACTTGTTTATGAGATTTCCTGGGTGGGGATTCTTTTTTATCTGCAAGCACTCTTTGAATTCAGGATATATATACTTGTTGTGCAGGATGAAACATAGAAGTGCTAAAAATATTAAGAATCATGCACATTAGTTAGCTACTTAACCTTGAATTTAACCAAGGCAACTTACATCAATCAGGAGAAGAAATAAGGTAGAACAGGAAAGAGAGAAACATCATTACCATAGAAATTTTGATGAAACCTCTATATAAAAATAAAATAGACCCCAGAATAATAGACTCCAAAGTACTACATTTTTTTCATTTCTTTTCTTTTCCTTTTTTTTTTGTTTTTTATGTGCTCATTTATCCTTCTTCTTCTTCTTCTTCTTTTATTTTTATTTTTATTTTTCTTTTTTTGCTTGAAAATTTGGCTAATTGCTATAAATGCCCAATTTCCAGAGGGGCAGATTCAAAAGGGGGACATATATAGGTTTCGAGAGAAACCAAAAAACAGTTAAAGCAAAGAAAATGCTGACAGATTCCTCCTTTTCTTTCTTTAAAGCTTAATCATCAAAATCAGTGGTTAAAGGATAGTGGAAACTGAGAAGAAGCTCTCTTCACTAGCACAATAAACAAGTAAGTCATCTTCATTAACATGTTATATTCCTCGAAAATGAAGATAACAACTTGCAAATGCCTTGGCTAATTTCATGAGAAATACTGCTTTTTTGCCAGGCTTTCCCAGCATGCATGAGGATCAATTTCAACAAGCTTCTTTTGTGGATAACATCCCAATATCCATTCCTGAGGCGGAATAGGTCATCATATTATATTAGGAAAATTTTAACAAGAATGACAGAATGATAACACAGTCAAAGTTGAGTAAGATATGTTAGTTGGAGCATGCAGTTATAGCAATCCACTAACCTGGAAATCGTCGAAAATCCAGAGTCTGGTGCCAAAGAGGAATTACACCAACCCTTTGAATTATCAACTTCAGGGAAATAGCACAGACAAACAATCCATACTAAACCCAGAATAATTCACATTTTTCAATCATTCTCTTCATTCTAGAGGTGAAAAGGACATACTCCAAGCCAGCAAAAAATCCGTAAAAACCAACACATAACCGTTTAAAAGGCCTATCCGTGGATGTCATCTTGCTTTCTATTTTAAGAACCTTAATTATTATAGAGAATAGCTTTGCACCAGACATATCAGACTTGTAAATGAATTAAGAGAGGAGAAAAAAATAGGGACAAACTTTGAGGCAATTGTTCCACATTCTGCTTCAACTCATCGAAATTTTGGAGAATTTTCGAAAGCACAAACCAAGAGGGTGCAATTTGAATCCCAGTCTGGTCGGTATTCTGCCCCCATTTCCAAAGCCTGCTTACCAATGAACTCCGCTGTCGATTGATAAACCCAGACAACACAAAGACTACGCCTTCCTGCCCATACAAAAATAGTTATGAGAGCTTCATTTCAAAAACCTAAAACTAAAAAACACAATACTATGCAGCTTCATTGCGTAAATTCAGCACCGAAAGCTTGAAAAAGTACGTTCTTTTGGACCAGCGTCGACAGAGTGATTGCTGCTTTGTGTTCTAACATGACAATTACTTTCTTCAGTCAGACCAGCGTCATTCCACTACAAGAATGTAGTCATAAAATCGTCAACATTTTAAGCCTCAGTCATGAAATATTGACACAAGTATATGTTATTTGTATCAACATTATTCATGTAAAAAAAGTCTATGCAGAAAAATTTTTCAACGTCAACTAAAAAAAGGTAAGCATTATTGACACAGATGGAGTAAAAAATCTAACAAAACCAAGTCCATTGCAATTAATGTTCAGAAAAATTATAAAAATGATAAAAAAATAACTAG